CTGCTAGACATAATAGTCTGTTAAATGTGCGGGCTCGGCCCAAAAACAAATCGGCCAGATGAATGGGCCGGGTAGATTGAGGAGGTGGGCTAGCACTGAACTGGGCTTAGCAGTTATCACATTTGTGGATGAAGAAGCAAGCGTGGAGAGGAAGCTAAGGACTTGCATATAAATAGGTAACGCAGGTATGATAGGGGGCTAAGTCTCTTTACCTCCAAAAAACCTTAATATACATACTGATCCTTCTTGAATACCCTACTAACTTGAGCGTCGGAGATTTACCGCCGGGAACCCTTCCCGGCGTCTTTGCAGGTCTTGGAGGGCTCAAGCGGTTGGGTTCAAGGAGAATCGGTCCAGCGTGCAAAAGCACATCAATTGGCGCCGTCTGTGGGACATTCATCTGCGCGACATTCTTCCGCCTTTGAAGTAAGTGCGTCATGTGGTGGGGTGTCCCGTGCATCTGCGCGGCATTCATCTGCGCGACATTCGTCTGCGCGGCATTCATCTGCGCGACATTCATCTGCGCGGCATTCATCTGCGCGACATTTATCTGCGCGACATTCTTCCGCCTTTGAAGTAAGTGCGTCATGTGGTAGGGTGTCCCGTGCATCTGCGCGGCATTCATCTGTGCGACATTCTTCCGCCTTTGAAGTAAGTGCGTCATGTGGTGGGGTGTCCCGTGCATCTGCGCGACATTCGTCTGCGCGGCATTCATCTGCGCGACATTCATCTGCGCGGCATTCATCTGCGTGGCATTCATCTGCGCGGCATTCTTCCGCCTTTGAGGTAGGTGCGTCATGTGGTAGGGTGTCCCGTGCATCTGCGCGGCATGCACCTGCGCGACATTCTTCCACTTTTGTGGTAAGGGAATCGTGTGGTAGGGTAGCTTGAACATTGGCGCGACATTTCTTTTGCGCGGTGTTCTTCCGCGCGGCACTCCTTTGGACGACGTGCTCATCTGCTGGATTTTGTAAGAAGGGAGTCGTGTGGTAGGGTATCTTGAACATCTGCGCGCCATTTCTTTTGCGTGGTGTTCTTCTTCGCGGCACTCCTTTGGGTGGCGTGCTCATCTGCCCGGATTGTGTAAGTGAGTCGGCGGTAGGGTGTCTTAAGCACCGGCGCGGCGCTCTTTTGCGCGACATTTATCTGCGTGGCATGGCTTAGCAGGGGTTTTGTGGTAATTAAGTATTTAAGTAACTTGCTCGTCGAATCTTGGATCAATGAGTTGCACGGCTAAAGACTTGATTCATCTGCTAGAGTAGTGTTGTATAATGATGGGTTAACGTCGGATTCGATAATTTGGTACCGCTACGTAAATGTATTGTTTGGGCACGCATATGAGAATAATAATTATCGAACAAGTCTATCTATGCAAATAGCTTGTTTGATAATGGGGGGGGCTAGATGATATAGCACAATAGAGTACTTTGGGTAAACCGGCAGGGTAGATCAGCAGAAATCAATTCGGTTTATTAGCCAGGACTATGTTTGCAGGATTGTGGGTCTGCTAGACATAATAGTCTGTTAAATGTGCGGGCTCGGCCCAAAAACAAATCGGCCAGATGAATGGGCCGGGTAGATTGAGGAGGTGGGCTAGCACTGAACTGGGCTTAGCAGTTATCACATTTGTGGATGAAGAAGCAAGCGTGGAGAGGAAGCTAAGGACTTGCATATAAATAGGTAACGCAGGTATGATAGGGGGCTAAGTCTCTTTACCTCCAAAAAACCCTAATATACATACTGATCCTTCTTGAATACCCTACTAACTTGAGCGTCGGAGGTTTACCGCCGGGAACCCTTTCCGGCGTCTTTGCAGGTCTTGGAGGGCTCAAGCGGTTGGGTTCAAGGAGAATCGGTCCAGCGTGCAAAAGCACATCAGTACCGTTAAAATTTCGACGCAAAATTTTTTTAACATGGTCTCCTATACTATGGCGATCATCAAGAGTCAAGATTAATCTCTCTCACACGTTCGCTTAGTCTTGAATGACCCTGTTTTCAGTAATAAACAATTGGACGTTGCTTTTCTGGAGTTACTAATGGGAAGTGTTTGAAAATAATGATATGTGGTGATGGTGATTCTGACGATAGAAAAACCATAAATATTATATACAAACAATATGTTTAATAAAATTTAAAATTATTTTCTTAATTCATATTTTTTCTCATGAAATGAATTATGGTTATGTATTTTTTTATATTATTATCTTTTCTAAGTATTTTTCTCCGTGCAAATGCACGGGTTGAGCACTAGAATGACTTATATTATTATCATTTCCTTCACATTATGTCACTTCCAAATTGCTTATTATAATTATTAATAAAATAATTATGATAATTATTCCCCGTAATTGGAAAATCCCCATCAGCAAAAGAATGACTTATAACAGTTGTTTATTCATATTTATTTTGCAAAAATTAATCCCAAAGATCAGACACATTATAATTCGAATTATTTATATTAATTAAAATAAATTAATACTTAGCTAAATTATGATGGCCAGATAAATTTGTTTATAATCCCAATACTAACTCCTTCAAAACATGGATGAATTTCAATATATTCTTATTTTATGGAAAAACAAAACTGGCGGTGTTTATAAATTCTTCCATGTACAAGTTCAAAAATTTCAAGGATTTAAATAGTCCCAAGTTTGTTTTTTTCTTCTTAAAAAGGAGGATCTAAACTGGTTCCCCAATTCCCCTCCGAGTGACTCGAACTCGGGACATGGTACACGCCAAGTGAGGGTACAATAGTCCCAAGTTTGTTAACCCAACTATGCTTATAGGTACTGTTTAATTTTTTGTCTTTATAAATAGCTATTACATTTTCCTTTGTTGTTTTAATTATATCAATCAATTATTTTTTTATTATTATTGTTGTTATTATTATTATTTTGAAGATATAATCGTTAGAATAGTCATGTACCAAAATGTGCAAACTACCATCTTCAAAAGGTGTTGACAAGAGATTTGTTGACCAAAATTGTATGTGACACGATCTAGAGTCATCAGTCGGAGGAGTTTGGAGATAATAATTTGTGTTGATGGAGATTGTGACGATAGAAAAACCACGAACGTTGTATATAAAGAAATATTTAATAATATTTAGATATTATTTCTTATTTTGTTTCAATGATTATGTTATTATTTTTATATTTGTTTTTTTTACTTTATTCTCTTCTATCATATAACTTTCCGTGCAAATGCACGGGCCAAAAACTAGTTAAGATAAAAATAGTTGTCTAAATGAATGACACGTATAGAAATGTAACATCATAATGCACACGTCATTCGTCAAATTGAATGAAACACGAAATGAAACACCAAATTAAAATAAAAAAATCCCATTCCCACATAATGCTCCCTCAAAGTGAAATTTTTTATTAGTTATTAAAAGGGGGTGTCTATATGTACACCCCTCGAGTGTAAAAAAGGGGTGTACATATAGCACTTTTCTTTGTGTAATTTATTAAAAGGGGGTGTACATATAGCATTGCCCTTATTAAAATCAACAAGGCAATTGTTAGACATACCTAACAATCAAACAATTATAGATTTTTAATGAAAAAAAAAAAATATTTTGTCTACCTAACTATCTAGAAATTTATATTTTGCGTACGGATTTTTTTTTTTTAACACGCACTTTGCTACCTAACTTTTTTTTTTTGTACACTTAGCCAAATTCGATCACCGCTCGCCACATGTGGCAATAATGCAAAAAAGCCACGTGTTGGATTATGAGCTCGGCAGTGACCAGAAATTAGTGTTGTTAAATTAAACGAGCTTGGATCAGCTCGGTTCGAGCTCGGCTCGAGATCCAGGTCTTAACGAGCCGAGCTTGAGCTCATTTAAAACTCGTTTGACTCGACTCGATTAGACTCGAAAATAATTTTTTTATAGTTCGACTCGTTAAAACTTGAGATCGGCTTGTTAAGGCTCGAGCTCAAGGCCTTAACAAGTCGAGCTCGAGCTCGATTTCAGGCTCGTTTACTTAACAAGCTGAGCTCAGATCGACTCGTTAAGGGCTCGAGTTCGAGCTTCAACACCCTAAGCTCGAGCTCGGCTCGGCTCGACTCATTTACAGCTCTATCGAAAATGGCAAAGTATAAAAAAAAAAAACCAATTTAAGTAGAGAAAGTTTAAAAAAAAAATAAAATTGTAGGCAAATGTAAATTTCCAAATAATTAGGTAGTCAAATTATAAGAACTTGTATTAGTTGTATAAGATGAATACTTGATTAACATTCATAGAACTCCATTTTTTTCTTGAAAATAAATAAGCCAAAAAGACCAGAAAACAGAGGAAAAAATAAAAGTAAATAAAACAAAGTAATGGAAAAAGAAGAAGCAAATTCCAACACCATCATCATTAGCATCATTGTGGAGAACGTAGAAAATGCTTGGCACATTCACTTGAAAACACTAAAAAGGCCTTCTTGCTTTTCTTCTACTACTCCCCCCCTTCAATTCAATCTTCATGATACAAAAACACAGGACTTTTTTTTTTTTTTTCCTCTCTCTCTTGGGCCGGGCCGTGGGCCCCCACAATTAGTTACTCAGGTCCTTGTCTCATAAATTCCTCAACTCCCCATTTTCGATCTGAGCATTTCCTTGGTTGCAAGCCTGAAAAGTGAAAAAAATGAAGCTTTTTTTTTTTTGTTCCCTTGAGTGTTTTGTTCCGTAATTCTTTATAATATATTGTGTTTCCTTTTGTTTGGGCTTTTAGAGAGATTTTCCCATTCACAAATTTTGGAAGGAACTAGAAAAAAAGGAGCTTTCTTGAAATCTGTTTTCGCTTTTTGTTTATTAATTTTGGTACAGAAATTGCAACAGCTGCTTTTGTTTGCTCTTTTCTTCTTCTTCTTCTTCTTCTTCTTCTTCTTCTTCTTAATTTGTGTGTTCTGTGCTAAAAGTGTTTGAAATTTTGGTAATTTTTAGGTATGTTTTGTGTACATTAGTTAATCGGCGAACAATTGTTTTGTTTGGTTAGGGAAAAAAAAAATGCTGTCCCAAAAGCCGCAATTTATCTCTGCTTTTCTTTTGCTGAATGTTATAACATGTCTGCACGTTGTAAAAATCGAGTCTTTAAGCCCCGACGGTCTCTCCCTACTTTCCCTGAAGTCCGCCGTGGACTCCTCCGCCGCAGCCTTCCCCGACTGGAACGAGAACGACACGTCGCCCTGCGGCTGGTCCGGGGTTTCGTGTATGAACATCTCTGGCTCGAGCGACGAGCGTGTCGTCGGGATATCCATCGCCGCCAGGAATCTCCGGGGGTATATCCCCTCGGAGCTCGGCAGCTTGTTCTATCTCCGGCGGCTGAATTTACACGGAAACAATTTCCACGGTTCGATTCCCGATCAGCTGTTCAACGCGTCCTCACTGCACAGCATTTTCCTCTACGGTAACAATCTCTCCGGTCCTCTACCTCCCTCTCTCTGCACCCTCCCCCGCCTGCAAAACGTCGACGTCTCAAGCAACTCCCTCTCCGGCCCACTCCCCAAGACCCTCAGCAACTGCAGGCAGCTGCAGCGGCTGAATCTCGCCAGGAACAAGTTTTCCGGCGAGATCCCGGCTGGCATTTTCCCCGAGCTGGCGAATTTGCAGCACCTCGATTTGTCGTCAAACGATTTCAACGGCTCGATTCCAGGCGACATGGGCGAGCTGAAGTCGCTAACGGATACTCTGAATCTCTCGTTTAATCACTTCACCGGGCAAATTCCAAAAACTCTAGGCGAGTTGCCACTCACCGTGAGCTTCGACCTTCGGAACAACAATTTAAGCGGCGAGATTCCCCAAACGGGCTCTTTCGCCAACCAGGGCCCGACTGCATTCCAAAACAACGACGGTTTATGTGGTTTTCCGGTACAAAAGTCCTGCAAGAGCATCACCAACAGCCCAACTGGGTCTCAAGATTCCGGGCCGGGGCCCAACATAAATTCCAGTCCGCGTAAAGGGCTGAAACCTAGCTTGATCATACTTATATCCATAGCCGATGCTTTAGGAGTGGCTTTTATAGGATTGATAATCATTTACATTTACTGGAAACGTAAGGACTCGAACGGGTGCAGCTGTACTGGAAAAGGGAAGCTCGGTGGGAATGAAAAAACAGGCCTTTGCACATTTCCTTGCATGAATGGCTTTCCGAGTAATGACTCGGAAGTCGAATCTGAAAAGGGCGGTGGTGCTGGCAGAACTAGCGGTGGCACGAGTGGTGGGGAGGGTGATTTGGTGGCGATCGATAAAGGGTTCAGTTTCGAGCTGGACGAGCTTTTGAGGGCCTCAGCTTATGTGCTGGGAAAAAGCGGCTTGGGGATAGTTTATAAGGTTGTGCTTGGAAATGGAGTTCCTGTGGCGGTTAGGAGGTTGGGAGAAGGCGGAGAACAGAGGTATAAGGAATTTGCGGATGAGGTTCAAGCGATTGGGAAAATAAAGCACCCGAATGTTGTGAAGCTGAGGGCATACTATTGGGCACCTGATGAGAAGCTTCTTATAAGTGATTTCATTTCCAACGGCAGCTTGGCTTCTGCTCTACGCGGTGAGTTTTACATTCTTGTTTTTGTTATTATTTTTATCTATTTATTTTTTTATTGCATTTTTTGGGATTTGATGCCATGTTTAATCTGTTTTGTTGGTTAATTTTGTGCGTAAAGTTGTCGACTTTTTTGTGGTAAGGGCTAAAGTAATGAACTTTCATGAAGTGTATATATACCTTTGTGAATAAGTGAGTAACTGTAGTGGAACGAAACAGGATGATGATGGTGTTTGCTGATAGACATGGGGATTACATTGAAATGAGAGAGAGGCTTTTGGTAAATGAGTTGTGAAAGTTCTGATTTGTTAGTTAACTCATACTAGATTGACTACCTTTTTCCTGTCACATTGGTTAAATTGTCTTTTAAATTGTACTGACCGGGAATCAGTTGTGCGGAGTTCACATTCGTGTGTAAATAATCTCTTTTTGCGCCTTTCTTTTAGTTTTTTCGATCAAAATGCAAGTTGAAGGAAAAGAATGATGAGAGGGTAAGGTTCATTTGCTTTGCTAATGATTTTGTTGGTTGGTGATTATTAATTGTGTTTACTGCATTTCAGACACAGTACTACCTTAATATCACTACCTTACCTATGATTTTTGTACCTTATCTGTCACATGATCATTGGTGATCACTGTTAACTGGAAAAAAAAAAAAAGAAAGAAAAATGACGACGAACAAATTTTGATCTTCAAACTGCCAGTAAAATACGATTATCAAAAGTTCGTTTTTGTTCTACATAAGAGAGCTGCTAAGATATTTCGAAGCAGCGACCAAATTTTTTCCCAAAGTTTTCTTCAGGACAAGTGCTTGCAAAATAGACCTACATAAATGAGTGAAATTTCGAGACTTTCTGAATCACAGGCAAGCCGAACCAGCCCGTATCCACCCTATCATGGGCTGCCCGACTCAGAATCGCCAAAGGCACGGCCCGCGGAATAGCTTACCTCCACGAATGCAGCCCGCGAAAGTTCGTCCACGGCAACATAAAACCCTCCAACATTCTCCTCGACAGCGATCTGCAGCCCCACGTTTCCGATTTTGGCCTCAGCCGACTCATAACCATCACTGGAAACAACCCTTCTTCCTCCGGAGGCTTCATTGGTGGGGCCCTCCCTTACCTAAACCCGGCCCAGCCCGAAAGGCCCAACAGCTACCGGGCACCCGAGGCCCGGGGGCCCAACGGGCGCCCGACCCAGAAATGGGATGTATACTCATTTGGGGTCGTCTTGTTGGAGCTGCTGACCGGGAAGTCTCCCGAGCTTTCTCCACCGACGAGCTCGAGCTCGACTGAGATTCCCGATCTCGTGAGGTGGGTGAGGAGAGGTTTTGACGAGGAGAGCCCGCTTTCGGAGATGGTGGACCCCATCTTGCTGCAAGAAGTGCACGCGAAGAAGGAGGTTTTAGCGGCGTTTCATGTAGCGCTTGCTTGCACGGAGGCGGACCCGGAGGCTCGACCAAGGATGAAAACAGTATCGGAAAATCTCGACAAGATTGGAAATTGATGGGAGAATTGAGATTTAAAAAAAAAAAAAAAAATAGAAAAATGGTTTGGGGATTTCTTTTTATTCTTGGAATTAAAAGTTCAAATAGTTTTACAGCTTTGATTTTCATTTTGAGTTGGGGTTGAGTTGAGGAGCGTGTTTTTAGCTTTTATATATGGTGGAATAAGTTATCTTGTGATTTGTTTATGCTTTTGATATGGAGAGGCATTTGAAATTGAACTTCTGTTTTTGTGTTGCTTGAGACAGTCAAGAGTAGGTTTTTTTAGTCCATTGAGTTGAGTTTGTGTTGCATTGTTTTGTGTAAACAGTTTTGAGAAAGCTCAAAAGTATGGATGATGTTAGCTTTAATGTGATCTAAAACAAATAGAGCAAAATACACATAGAAGCAAACTTTGCGGCTGACCACTTGGTCTGATGCAACGAGTGTTGTAACACCCCGCTCATCAGAGTCAATTTTTCGCATCTTCTTATTTTGAAAGTACTTATAAATTTTTAAAAATCTTCTTAACTTAATTCGGAATGCTACTAAACTTATCTTCTTTAAAATCTGTCTTCTCAAACCTTGGTCTAATAACTAGCTAGATATAATAAGACATATTTTACTTATCAATCATATATGGAAACTTAACTTGATAAATCTTTTAAATTCGAAAAATACTATCATATATGTTCAATATCTAAAAGACGTAGCGGAAATCTTATAAGCATGGTATAATACAAACCGAAACCTTATTAAAAATCCATAATAAAATAGAATTCTCGATCCACACCACCATAGCTGCTCTCACACCTCTGCACCGACCCTTTTACCTGAAAATGATAATAGTGGGGCGTGAGTACTAACTTATTGTACTCCGTAAAAACCCATACCAAAGTAAACAATAATAATACTTTAGCTTGAACTTAAACTTGAACTGTAACTGGAACTTGAATATTAACTTGAACTTTAACTTTAACTTTAACTTTGCAACTACCGGTAACCTGGCCCGGTTCTCACGTGATCACATTCTGGGGTCGCCTTCCACAGAACCCAGTTTCGACTGGGCGAGATTAATACTTTACTTAATGATTAGTCGGAAAAAGTGTGTATTTTATATATTTATTAGCGTATTTTTATATGCTTGACTTTTATTACACTTATATATTTTTCGGCTTATTTATTTATTTATTGAATTTAGGTGCTATGATATATTTATGTCTTATTTTTAGGATATTGGATTATTTTCGTGGACGATGGCACGCGACGAAATTTCACTCTAGCAGTATGGATGTACCCCAACCAGCCCATTTTCAGCCCATATGCTAATTCATGTGACGATCAAAGTTGATTGGGCTTCCAATGTGATTTTGGGAGAAAGAAGCTGAAACTTGATTCTTAAAATAGGGTTGACCCACCAATTGAGAATTCTTGGGCCAGAAATTCAAAGCACGACACTTGAGAGAAAATAAGTAATGGGAATTATTCTAGCATGAGGAATATATTGAGGAGGGCAACCACTAATGCCATAATTAAGGGTATTTACCTGGGAACAAATATTCACGCGAAACAGAGGAGATAATTTTGAGGGAGCCGCAATACACATACAGGGATCATTATTTATTTTTCTTGGGAGATACGCATACAGAGTCGCACGGACAGAGGCAGAAACGCGTACAAAGAAGACGAGAGGAACCCGCCCAATTGCGGAGGGAGGCCGCACCCGCACACGAAAGAGGATAATTGTATTCTCTTTCTTTTCTTTTTATTTTTATTTATTATGTTAGAGTAATTTTATTTCTAGTTCCGGGGAAGTTGAACCCTACGTACTTGATGATGTTTGATT